TTTTTTACCGTCAGAAGTTGTCCGTCCTTGCTTTATCAAACGTTTTTAAATTCATTTTTGCGGTGAGGCTTGGACTGTGAATCTTCATTGATCCTCCTGGCGCAGTGGCATTCTTTGTTGGCTTGAGGCATTTTATAACCGTTTATATATATATATAAATGGGTATTGAGAATTTGATCATAGTGGCACTTTAAGGGAATATTTGCTGGATCACAGACTAAACAAGCCTTTCAAGTATTAACAGTATTTACAAACGCGAAGACATTTTAAAACACAGAATGAATAATATTTGGATTGCAACTGTTTGCATTGGTACCTGCATGGTGGAGAGTAACAATAACGTTAAAACAAAACGTTTCTAGAATGTTCGGGGCACCAGAATATGACCGAATAAACGTAGCTATATAGAAATTTCAATCATGAACGTTCATTTGCATACTTCAGTAATTATCGTGAGGAAAGTGAAAGAAAAATGTTCACGTGTTGAACTTCTTTGTTAATCAGTACTTACCATCTGTTGGAAGGCGAGTTGATTCTCAGGATCACATTTAAACCACAGGGTGTACACGATTCTGGAATACAACCCAGCCATCAGTACCATGGCTGCAACTACAATGACTGACCAGAGCAAAGTTTCAGCTTTTTGCAGCCATTCTTCATCCATTCGCACACAGGCATTATCTTTTACATTTGAGCCCGTGATATATAGTATGAAAAATATTAATGCGAAGATCCAAGAGCCAGGAATGATCACCTAAAATAGGAAAGCATAAAACAGACGAATATTTAAGGTAATTCCATCGAAATGGAACTCACAATAGATTTTCTTTCAAACTTTACCTGTTGGCTGCTTATATCAAGAGAACGTAAAATTTGAAATAAAACAGAAGGGGTTCCCATATTCCTTTTGGAGCAGGAGGACCTTCAATAAACCCCATAATTCCTGAAATTATTTGCTTTTGCTTTCAGAAACGTTTACATTCACCTTACGCTTTAAGAGAGCAGAAAAATAGAGAGTAAGTTAAGCGAGAAATACAACAATGGATGTATTGCATAAATGTTAAGAAGCAATTTGATAAGCGTTTCATGATAAGGGTACTCATATTTAGTCTACAGGGATACAATATGTTCCAAGCACGCATTGTTATGGGGCCACGTATTATCTTTTGCGAGTGTTAGCTACACTCTCATTTTCTGTGATAATTTTTCACTCTACAATAGAAATTGGTCCATATTCACTGTATAGAAAAAAGGTGATCTCTGCATTCAAACTAAATAAAAAAAATCGTTAGGTCCCTGTACTCGTTTCCGAGGAAATGTTGATAATTTGTCTCTTGCAAGCCAAGCCGTTTAGAAAAAGCCACCATTCTGTATATGCTGTGTATGTGCACGCGCTCGTGAGAGCGCGATAATGACGTGAAAATCGTGCACAGTAGGGATGCGCAATGCAATTCTGAGGAATCACCTTAAGGTGGCTCCCTATAGTTTTACGGTTGTACGCGGGCATAGGACGAAAGCTCAAGTAATCTACGAGCGCCCAAAGGAAAACGTCAGTGTTTTTCGATTTTTGTGACGTCAACATGAGCACAAAAAGCAAAACTGACAGTGAATTTTCTCGCGTTTTCTTCGGTGAAATTTTTTTTTTTAATTTGGCTCAGTTGTAACCACACACAATTTCTTTAAAACCCTTTTCGTTAAAATCTGTCAGAGCTAATCTAATATTTTAAAAGAATGACAAATTACAGAATACTGGAAAAACCGTCTGAACAACCTTGCCTTTTTACCAATTCAAAATGTCAGGCAATATCATTTCCATGATGTGGCAAAGTATGAAAAAAATTCACCGAAGGAAAGTATAAATATTTTAAGAGTTTAGGCCAAAATGAGAAATGCATCTGCCTGTCATTAGATGAGATGTTGCCATGGTAACGGTCTTAAACCATAAATTGACAACCAAAAAATAAGCCTTACTTTTTAACAGTACTCATACTGGTAAATCTCTACATGGAAAACTTTAAGAGAAATTAACTAAGTTTCCTTTTCTAACTCGCGCCCTATAGGGAGGGTGTTCGTAAATACCCTAGGGAACCACCTTAAACCTGTTAACGCATCAAACTATCTTTCAGGGATGAGTTTCAACGAATAAAAACACGCCTCACACTGTTAACGAGTTAGATCAGTAGGTCTGGTTTGACATCTCCTTAAAACTTTTCATCGCAGATAAAGGATTCTTATAGTCAGCTAGCTATTATTTGTGCCCTTGTTTCTCCCGTGCATCGGCCCAATCCTTACCGGAAAATTTCGACACCTTTACCACTTTGTGTGCCTTCTTTGCACCTGAAAGCGGGCAAAACCTGTCGTGCTTCTTTGACAACATCAATATTAAACGTAAGCTAACAATTTGCTGACGCAACTGAAAAACTCGAACTTCTCGTGGAAAATTCGACACATATCTTGTGATAATAGCGAACTTTAGATTGGACTACGAGTACGAGATTGAGTACGAGTACGATTTTCGGTTTTCAAACCAGTGACGTTTCTAGAGTCCTCGCTGTTCATGCTGGTTTTAGGTAAAGAGGGTAGCTCATGGGATGAAATGGGTATGTGTTGCGATAATGTGAAGCCTGAAAACTAGAACTGAAAAATCGTTCTCGTATTCGTTCTCGTACTCGTACTCAAATCTTAATTCCCCTAATCTCATAAACAACAACTTGACTATGCGCTCTTGTCACGTGAGTGTTATTTCAAGTTTAGTTTATGCGACAAATGATTAACAACTTGATGATAAGTATCAAGTAGAGGTTATTAATACAACTTGAAGTCGTTTTTTATTCATAGCTTTGTTCAGAATCAGTATTTTCCCCTATAATTATTTTATATATTAGGCTCATGAGATCTATCTGAAAAACCGGGAATATATTTTTCCTTAAATTGTCAAGTATTTGTTATACCGACTCAACCATCAAAAATATGTTATGACGTAAGATGGAAACTGACACGAAGGTATCACAGAATGGTCCGAATTTAAGAGCACCTAAACACGCCAAAGACTGAATTCGTTTAGTGATTTCTCATTCCTTTAAAGGTGAGGGGCCCTATACGGTAAAAAACAAAGAAATCATTTTTGTTTGTTTGTTTGTTTGTTTTTCTTCACGGGCTTGGGAGGCGGCAGTACAACTATCCAAGTTTTTGTAGCCAATCAGAATGCGTGAGGAACACTATCCACTGGTTTGGTATATACTAATATACACTTAATGTACAGTCCCGAGGGAAACAGTTAGTTGTTTTTTCCCGAGAGTCCTTGACTCGAGGGAAACAAAAGTAACTAGTTTCCCGAAGGACTATACATTAAGTGCTTTGTTATATATTAGGACTTTCCCTTAAACAATCATATAGCAAAAACAAACAAACAAAGGCGGCACAACTTCTTTATTCGCAACCGTCAATCCTGCTGAAAGAATAAGTCTTAACTTAATTACAAATGTTTCGAAGTACATGAAAAAGTAAAATATGCTTTTAAAACCTCAACAACGAATACAAAATCGTTTGGAATTGTAAAAATTGATGATAACATTTGTTATCCTGGCTATGAGATGCGAAATTCTGCATAGTCACGGGGAAGTTTGGCACTGTGTTTCTGCCAAGAGAATTTTCACTTGTTTGCTCATGCATCGCCACAATTGTAGTGCTAGTTGATTCAAGATTTTAAACAGAACAGGCACTACTGAGAGCATGGGAGATTTCTTTCTGCTTAACCTCCGAAAGACGCCTGGAGTAAGAGCGAATGTTGCTCTCATATTTGTGTCCCGAAACACGCATTATGTGGCGACCCGCCCCCCCGGGGGGGGGGGGAGTACTTTGGGAATCTCTAACTGGGGATGTGCCGCTAGGACCCTGGAACCCTTAGCCTATACCAGAGCTAATTCAGCTGAATTTTGCTAACCTATACTGGAGTAAACTCCCTAAATCCCCCCATTTATCGACACTATTGGGGCTGATTTGCGTAAATTTAAACTTGCCGGTTTGATTTTTTTTATATTTTTGAGTGGCAATTCCTGGTTTCCTTACTCTAGAGAAAATCTTTAACCAACCGGTCAGTTTTGTGAAAACTGATACCCTATTCTAGACCCAAACGTTCTGACTTATATACCCTATCCTAGAGTAAACTGCTAGAAAACCATACCCTTCACAGCGGCAAATACCTATATAGCCCATATATGGCAGTGCTCCCCCCCCCCCCACCGGGGGTTAGCCTCAAAATTGCACTCATCCAAGAGCGACACGGCCGTTGCCCTAACACAGTGATTAGTATACTTTTGTGAAAGTTTCAGCTCTTTAGAAATTGAACTCATGAAAGTTCCTAGCGTATTTTTCCCGAGGGGCACATTACAATACC